GGTCCACTGTGCCCAACAGTGGCCCTCAGACCAATAACCTGAGCACTGAAACCTCGGGACACTTCTTTGTAAAGTGAGCCCAGAAGTGCCAGCTGCAAAGCTACTGTGAGGACTAATCAAACTGATGCAAATAAAGCCCACAGAGCACACAGAAGTCTCACTGATATTACCTAACCAGAAGCACCCTGTCCAGTGTGATGGTGACCAGACAGTGATGTCCAACTCAAGATATCTTGAAGTAGAAAACACACATTAAAGCTCAAAGACTAGGTACCAAAAATGTAATGTACGTTAATATATATCATATTGACTATGTGTAGAAATGATTATATATGAATATAGGGGGTTTAAATTATTAAAATTAATTTCATTTATTGATTGTCACATTTTAAATGTAGCTAAAATTTTAAAATTATATATGTGGCTCATATTTGTGGCTTACATGAAATCTCCTTTGGATGGTGGTGGGCTATAATAACCACTAGTATTATAGACATAGGGTCCAAGAAGAAAATTTTAAAACGCATTTTTAATGTAGTAAAATATTAGGATCTCCTTCAACACCAACATGCAGAACAAACAGTAAATTGGGCAAAGATTCTCTTCTTGAAATGCAACTTTCTGTCTTTATGATTCATTTTAGATAAAGATAATCCTGGTGGAGACCAAAGCAAAAGAAAATATTTTACTTAGCAAATATGAATGAAGATTTGTAGCGTGCTAGACCCATGGCTGGGTCACAGGTTGCACAAAAGGCTCCTCCTCCTCACACTGCCATGGGGGAAAGGGATACGGGTGCAGCGTGCATGCAGTTATGTGCTGATGGTAAAATTAGCTGTCAAAGGTGTTAATGATGTTGAAGTCGAAGAAGCAAGTAACTTTCCCCAGATAAGGAAAAGAGGGACACACAAAGAAGGAGTGAACTTTGAACCAGACTTGAAAGTGTAAGAGAGAGAAGAAGTAATGCTACGTACCTGGAAGCTTTGGGTAAGAATTATTGGCCATGTTCTAAGTAGAAATTATAAAAGCATTTCAATTTAAACCAGGTAGTCAAAGTCCTAGGGGAGCAGTCATTCGCAGTTAGATTCTAACCATAAATGTTATATTGCACACGGCATTTGATGTCTTGGGTCTTGCCATTCACACCCAAGCTTGGGAGCATATTATCTCCGCTGGCCTGTTCTACAGCCTTGCTCTCCTGTTCTTCTCTTTTTAAACAATAAGCTTGAAGTCTCCACCATTTCATAAATAGTGCCTTGGCTTCCTGACTCATACTTTGTTTTCACCTTCTCTGATCTTATAGAAGTCCGTGTCTCTATCAGTCCACGCCCTTCTCCCCAAAGCAAACCAACAGATATTTACTGGGCATTAATTTGGAGAAAAATAGTACAAAGACACCTGAGTGGAGTTGAGCAAATGAGTATAAAGCAAAAATTAAGGATGAGACAAATGCCTCCCTGCATGTAGAAATACATAATTCCTGTTCAGCTACTTTCATGCCTTTTCACTTTGTAGATTTTATATTAATTTAACTTTTCAAATGAGCGTCTTACTGTACTTCATCGGTATTTCACATTAGGTCTCTCTTCCCCAGATCTACCTATGCACGCAGATATCCAAGTCTAAATATCAGTGAGTGAAAACATGCCTTCATTAACGTTCACCTTTTCTATTCTCCTAAGTAGTCAGATACTTATCTATTTGCAGTTATAGTCAGAAAAACCTGAGGCATAATATCTGATTTTTAAAAATCTAATATAATAATATTTAAAAGTGGGCCTTATCAGATTATAAAATATAGCTTACGCATTTTTAAGCTGTGCATAGCCTTTAGTAGGAAATATTACCTGTATACCACACCAGTCTATTTAGAGCACCATGCCAAATTTCTGTTGCCATTTTAACCAGTCTGTTAAAGCAGTAAGAGCAATGAGGAAAATACGTAAGATGATGAGGAGTCTTAAAACCGTCTTTTAAAATTGAGTTGAATAAATAAGAATATATTCATTGAAGGAAGGCAATTAAAAGGTTAGCAAAGACCTGAGAATAATTTTCAAGTATTTGAGGGCCTGAAGAAAGATCAGGGATTATCTTTTCAAGGTCAAAGCGGGGATCTAACGGCAGACGATAGAATGGGGACCGAACCCAGGCCAGTATAAGTCATGCATTTCTGACTGATTTAATCAGACCCAGCTACATGCCTGTGGAAACTGGCCACAAGTCAAAGCTAAGGGGGATTTCCTTAGGATAGGATAGCGTGTGAAAAGCCAAACTACAAAACCTCTCAGATCCCTTGCGATCAACTACAATGGGCTTTGTTTCCAGCTCTTCCCGAACTATTTTTGACGGGAAGCTATAGCTACCAATAGGTGGCGCCACACTCTCACTGTTCGCTTGCACTAGAGCAAGCCAATTTTCCTGCTGGTAACACAGCGGCGGCAATGTAGTGAGGGCTGGCTGCTGGCACTCAAACTGTAGTCTGCATTTTCTGAGTCATAATATGTGGGACTTGAAACGGGGCTTGGAGGCTGAGGAACTTTCTGAATGAGCCGTTCTCTCCTACACACTTGCTGGGACTGCGCTGCCTGTCGGCGTCTGTCTCCAGAATGTTTTGTCCCACCATTTTGCTTCTTGATATTTTCATTGTTGTCACTATTATTATTTTGTACAAGAGTTTGAACCTGGAGCTTTCATACTGCGCTACATCCCCAGCCCTTTTTTTAGCTAGGGTTCTTTTTTTCTTTTCTTTTCTTTTTTTTTTTGAGACATTCTCACTAAAGTAAGTAAGTTGCTCATGTTGGGCTTGAATTTGTGACCCTCCTGCCTCAGCCTCCCTGAGCGCTAGGATTACAGGTATGTACCACCACATCCTCCTCAGATTTGCTTTTCAAGGCAAAGCAAAAGGTACTTCCTTCAGAGGCAAGTTTGTCCTGGTGACCCAGTCGTTTGGTTAGGACTCTGCCTCTGTTACAGTTTCATTACAGGGTCACTCCTTCTTCAGACCATAAAGACTTTAAAGACAAGGCCCTGTTTTATATTAGACTCGTCAGTTGCAAACACACAGCTTGACCTTCAAGTAATAGTAAGTGCTTCTTTTATGAATAAACAAGTTAAATTCTAACTATTCATTGAAGAAACGCAAAAAAGAAGGACTACTGAGGTTAGTTAGCAATTGTTTTTGGAGAGGAACCCAGATTGTCTACCACCTATATAGATTTTTTAAGGAGTCTGATTGTTAAATAAAGGTAGTAGCTTTACTTCTGTTTGTATCTGAAAACAAAGCACCTGCATCAAATGAAGGCAAGGACTTAGCTTGCGGGACACAGCTCTGACTCAGGGCCTGGGGACCTGCACGCGGGGCGGCTCTGCGCTCCTCCAGCACTGGTTGAGGCCCTGCGTCCGCGCGTGGTGGGCGGGGCGAGTTGATCTCTGCGCTGACCCACACGGAACACTTTGAAAGGGAGTTAGGGCGTACAATGGAAAGCCTTCCATGTAAAGGCTGACTTTAAAGCAAAGAGACTAGATGGAATCTTGATGATTAGTTAAATCCCCAGGAAGCAGAGAAAACATCTCAGTAATACAGAAAATGTGTCACTGACAGCAGTCCCCACCCCTACCTGTTTCCCCAAACGCGGTTTCGCAGCGGGCACTGCTGGGGTGCCCAGGACAGAGTCAAATCCATCGCGGGCACTGGCTGGACCCTTTCGCACGTTACTCAGTCAAGCCCGCAGTCCTCCAGACCGCAGTCCTCCAGGCCGCTGTTCGCTTGCAGGCAAAGGACCACGGAACAGTCGTAGAATTTTGCTTTTCTTGCCGAAACCGGCTCAAACGACTGAGTTTTATGGGTTCTCAAAAGAACCATTTTCTATGTCCAAAGCCAAATATGGCCAACGATGATATAATACATGTTTTTCTAGAATAGTGAAATGTTCACTAGTCAGTTTATCTGCATGTAGCCTCCGCCCAAGGCATTCCCAGACTGTGAGCTCTCGGGGTAGGAGGGCAGGCGCACCTCCTATAAATCTTTGTACATCTAGCGCTTTGCACAGTCTGGGCGCTCACATCCTGGAAAGGGTTTGTTCAATTTGTTGAATGAACAACTGTGTAAACGTATCAGATTCAGAGGTGTTTCTGACTAAAAAACAAAGTTAAAAACCCCAAACTTTCAAGTAGTTCGTTCCTCAAACTGACGAAAGCTTTTCTTGTTTCTTTCCATGCATTAGAAGAGTTACTAGAACAGTTATACCTGAGCTAGAACAGCATCACTACTTGACATATAAGTGATAATATGCCCCGCGAGAAATCCTTCCAATACTATTTAGTTTTGATGCAAATTTTGCTTGGGTTATAGTTTTTCTTCTCTTTCTCTTCCTCTCTCTGGCTCTGACTCCAAGCCTTCGATCAAACTAAGGACCTTGAATATATACCATCTTGTTTTATCTCTTAAACATTAAATTCAACTTGCCTGAAGTGTTTGGGACTCCCCTCCCTCCGCGGACTTGCTTCAGAGGCCCCTGAGTACATCATTCTCTTTCTAGCAGATCTATTAGGGTGACAAATTCTGTGGCTATGAAAGAAGGGTAAGAGTCTTACTTAGGGAAGTAAGTCTAGCTTACTTCCATGCCCACTCCAGGGCAAAGCTGTCCTAGACAGTGATGTACCTTCCTAAGCAAAAGAAGCTTAGCATTATGTAATCGAATAAATCCTTTGTCCATAGAAAGGACCATTAAAAGCACCAGGTAGAACTAGGACGAGGATGCTAATCAATCTGGTGGTGGGATCATGTAAAACACCCACAATGTGAGGGATACATGCTTAGAACCGTGCTTTCCAGACATGGATCAGATTCACCTAGGTGTCTTATTAAAACAGAGATTTCTGAGTTCCACTCCAAGAGTGGAGAATTTCTAACAATTTATAGCTGATGCTGATGCTGATGCTGTGAATCCTGTGACCACAGTATGAGGCTGAATTAAGAAATTTCTATTAAAACTACAAACCTGCTCCCTTCAGCCACCAGGGTGGGAGGACAGGCACAGTTGCTTGCTGAATGTAGGGTGGAATACCGTAGATTGTTTTGCAAGATGGCCTCCACCTCTCTGTGTTTACGCTGTCATCCAACTGTGCTTTGTGCTATAAAAATGCATATTGTGAACATCTGAGATACGTTTAAGGTTCGGTAGGAAGATAAAGGGAGACAATTTTTCAAAGTATTAAGAATACTTCACTTATGTAGGTTTTCTAAACTTGTAATGCACTTTCTTTGAGTTTATATTCACTTTCTAAATTGACTTTCACTCTTTCTGTGAGACAAACACGGTAGGTATGAGTTAACCCATTTCATGGCTGAAGTAACTGAGAATATCCATATTAGATTCTTTCACTAATTGGCAGTTCAGCCAAGATTGGATTTTAAATCTTCCAAGTTTTAGCTTTAGGCAATCGAAAAATAAATACTCTAGTGATCTTTTCTACTTGAAAACCATTTATCTTAATCTATAACTAAGTGCAGCAATTATACTCAATTCAGTCTTTAGATTAATTTCATGCAATTAAATTAAAAGGGTCTTTGAAGGAAAAGTAAATAAGGGCATGTTGGACCTCGGCCGCTTTAACTATAAAATAAGAGGTTTGGACAAAGACCCTTGAATTCTTAAATCATTGGATGTAATTATTATATGGAAGGATTGATGGTATCTTTCTTAGTAGAGTAAGAAAAGCCAACTGAAACCGGTAATACAATGGGATCATGTTGCCCAAACACTGTTATTTTCAGGGTGCAGTAAGGGTGCTGCTTTTATGCAGCTTCTGCTGACTGGGAAGGTGGCTTTTCAAGGAAGGGACATCAGTAAAGGGGCCAATAGACACAGCAAGGTCATTTCGCTCTCTGACCTACATGCTGGTGTTTTAAATAAAGAGAAATCTTTGCTTTAAAAATATCATCCCTAAAATATTTGTGCCACAAAGATACTTTATAATAGTTTACTACTGCCTACTATGTCAATACACAAAGATACAACCAACTACTTAGTCACATGTGACTAGACTAGCAATTTTATTGATTGCTAAGAATATTCCATACATAAAGACACTCTGGTTATGCTCTCAATATTTATCACTCCAAAGTAGGCTTTATCATGGCAATTCTTGAGTCATTTGATTAATAATACGTCAGCATTTCCATTTACAAATTTTATTTTCATGTATTTATAATAAAGTCATTCAACTGAAACTTTGCATAGGAAAGTTCCAGCTGAGACTATTTGTGATTTTTTTCCTCTATTGCCAAATTTCTTTCCAATATTACCATCAAAATAAAATTGTCAAGATACCAACTGATTATTGGGATAAGCAAATTTAACAAATGGGAACAACATCAAAATTTGCGGAGAAAAGTTAGATCTGAAACTTCAGTGTAAAAATCCTACCTAGCCAATAGAAAATAGAGGTCAAGTTGCTCAATGATTTTCCTGAGGCTCTTTAATAGGTATAATTTGTATTGTACCTATTAAATACAACAAATACTGGGGATTATATAAGGAATTTAATAGCTATCTTGAATAAATGTGTCTTTGTGAAATATTAGTGGGAGCAAAACATTAACAAAGCAGCACATATACTTTCCAGTGCATTTTTACACAAAGCTTTCTTTTAAAGCATAATACTTGCTGAGAAACAAGAAATATTAATCATATAGAAGAAGATAATGAAGGGTAATTTAAAATGGGGAAAATAAAGTATAATGACAGAGTCTAAAATTCTATTCAGAGAATTTTAGAATATAAAAGGAAAATGGTGCAATGTCAACTGGATCCAAGTTCAAAAAAGGAGAAATATAAATGGACATCATGAGGTAAGTGGGGAGTGAGAACTGTCCGTATTCAATTGTGGTTACCACTGAATTTTGCCTGTCTTTTTTCTTGCTAAATTAGTAAGGTTCCAAACTAGTGTTTTCCCAACTAGACATTTTAGGAAGTATGGCTACTTTAAGGGATTTCATTAACATTTAAAAGCCCTGAAAGGTACCACAGCAAAGACTTATTACCCTCCCTAAAACTTTTTTGCTCATGAAAACTAATTTTATTTATGACCTTTAACATCTTCCAGGGATCTCTTTTTGTGAAATTATGTCTAGAAAATTAGATCAGGCCGCTAGAAATAACAGGTTTTGAAGTGAGCTCTGTATGTTTGAAAAATTATCAAATAACATGGTGCCCATTTCTGTTTCCATTGAAGAAAGGGGATGGACTAGTTTTCTTCAATGCTTCCTCCAAACACAAAATTCTATAATGTAAAAATACAGGGAAGTAGATTTAATATTCATGCCCCTATTTAATTAAGTATTATCTTAATTTTCTTCTTCATTATGCATATTTTTAATTGTTTGATCATTTGCAACTCTAATTTTTTATAATTTTTTAGTACATGTTTACAGTACATAATGCTTGCATTACATGTGTGTGGTAGGGGTTGTACACATACCTAGCATGTATCAGTTCTTATTTTCACCCTCTTTTTCTCTCCTCCTTCCATTTTCTGATCCTTTTCCCACTTGAGAAATATCTATCTTCCTACTTTCTACCATCGATCCTCCACTTTGCTCTTTATCTATATTTTATGTTTCTCATAAAAGAGAAATATGCAATATGTGAACTTGTGGGTCTGATTTATTTCACTTAACAGTAGGGTCTCAAGATGCACCCATTTTCCTACAAATGAGCCAAATTTTTTTTTTTATGGCAGAGTAGTGCTCCATTGTGTGTGAATACCACATTTCCTATTTTTTAATGTACAAATATGAGTGAACTATCTTCCTGAATCAATTACCTGCTTAAGGTTTCTTCCTTGACCTCCACAGTCACTTCCTCCCTTTGAGTGTGTCTAACTACACTATAAAGCTAAATTTGTATTTTTTTTATGTAATTAATTCTTTCTCCTTTCCATTTACCATGGATAATCAAGAATCCATGGTACTATGGATTTTTAAATGTCAGAGATTGTAAACCGTCTTGCCTATTACAGTAAAATCTTCATTAAAGGCTATCATGTATTCAAAGTAGTGTGTAATTCAAAGCAGCTGCACGTCCTGTTCCTCTTCTCCAGATGTACAATTGTCCTTTAAATAAAAACACCAGATAATCCAAGTACACTTTAGTTTAAACTGCCAGGCCTTTCCAGGTAACTAAGTTTTAATGAAGTCATCATGGTCTCTCACTGTCAAGGCCAACAAAAAACGATGCCTTCCCCACTGGTCCCTGTATTTGACAAGAATAGTTCCCATCGGAGTGAAGCTCACATAAACCTTAATTACAACCTATGTCTCAAAGCCCTGTATTTTGAATTGTGCTTCAGAAACAGGTCAAAATCATAATGTTTTGCTTTTAAAGGTTTTTGTTCCTATTAAGAAGAAACTCCCCTCTTCACTGAAGGAAAAATATTCATGTGTGAGTCTCTATTAACTCGTTATCATCGTTTTTTATTGATGAAATATGTGTGCTTTTTAAAAGATGACATATACCCACTAAAATGTAATCTTTCTGTAGTTGTACAACATCAGTAGTGGTGGTTTTCTAGAAAGAACATATGTGTTTTAATTGCTTTTATGAGGAGCTTACATTTAGGATTAAGAAAAATAAGATTACATGAGTATGGGGATAATGAGAACACAATGAACATATATTATCCATCTTAAAGGATCAAGACAGAAGAAATCTCCATACAAGACATCCTTTTACCCCACAGTAGCCAAGACAAACTCAAATCAAGATTAAAATCAAAGCAAGTTTCATGTCCTTCTGTCTTCCCTCAGAAGGGTGTGTTTTAAGCAGGCTGAACTTCTCTGCTGTCAGTAATTCTATCTGTATGTAAATTCTTACACACCACAAGAAAGCTTATAAGCCCTCCAAACTTATAGTTTTGGCACACCAGCTACCTTGAGCTGAGGGAGAAGTGTATTTAGGATGGGTGCCACCCACCATCGAGTAATGGTTTAAGTAGGAAGTAGTCACAGGGAGACCACAGCAGCTAAATTTCAACCTAAGATATTCTAGGTTTAGAACAATAATTTTAATCAGGTATGTTCCAAAGATCCAATAGGTCTCTATAGCAGGCTATAACTCAGCTTAAATAGCAGTCTGCCGAGTCAGCAGGCGCTCCATATATATATATATATATATATAGTGTATCATCGATCTGCCACTCAGTCTGTAACGTCTTTGGTACACAGAAGTCCTATATCCTGTGAAACTTACACAGGTGGAACTGGAAAGCATATCTAATTTATTAATGCAGACAGCATCTCTCACCTACACCAGAACACAGGTCCTAAGGTGAAGGGGCGCTATGGAAATGCCAGCATGGTAAAGCCAGAGGAGCACTCACACGAAAACCTTAGCACCTTCCTGGAGTCCAGCCTTATTCCAGCCCAAACTGCCTTATAATAAAGTCTTTTCAGTGGGCTGGTAACTAAACACTCTTGGAAGGGGTCCAACGTGAACCACCTCTCCAGGAGCCTCCAGTGAGGTAATATGACACTTAAGCTTCCACAAAAAATGAATGTCTACATTTGATGAATAAGTCATTAAGACAGGCTCTAGGATGCTAAAGGGATTACTTTTCTTATCAGGGCACACAGCCTTGTGTATGTGCTTCGAGCTGTAATTCGTCATTTCAAGCAAAGGTCTGGACTCTGCATCAGAATTTATCATTAGATGATAGAAGATGACAGAGAGGCTGATAAGAGACCCTGAAATTACAACACGCAGAAGGGGTGGAAGCCACAATGTATATGGTGCCTAAGACAACAGACTGTACAATACGTGTGAACAGAAGAAACTCAAATCCCTCATCCGATCCTGCAGATTCATAGTCAAAATGAAACTTGGTTGGTACAGAAATTACTGTGTATCTCGTGGGTGCCTCAGCCATTCCCTAGGATCCCAACCAAGAAGGTGACCATCACGGCAGGCATGATCTGAATATCTACCTGCAAGACTGCCAGCTTCCTCGTCTACCCTCTGCCTTCCAGTCCTTGCTCCCCTCCCACCTCCACAGGGCTCCTTCCCTGAACTCTGCCCACCCCTCATGCGCTAAGTACATAGATGGTTTGCGGGTGTGGCTGGCTGGCTGTCAAAGCCTGGGATGCTGTGCTTTGGACAGGGAAGTTTCCTTTCCTTAGCGTCGGCTACCTCCCAGGTCAGGCTCCCGGTTCTAAGAAGAAAGTGGAATGCGGTTCAGCTCAGACTTCAGCGATAGCCTTCTGCACTAAACAGCATAACTCACATTTACTGTAAATGTCATCGTGCTTATGAGCTTTCGAACACATTTACAGTGTCGACCTCAGGCTTCCTTCCCTTGACGGATGTTCTAGTTTTCCTTTGTTTCTAGGAGTCCCAAGTACTGAAGTTTTGGGAAATTTCTTCCCAATGACTTTGACAGCATTGACACAGCATTGAGGCACAGCCTCCTTTCTTGAAAAGTTTTGTCGATTTCTCAAGGGTTCACTGAAGACAGGCTTGGAAGTCACAGCACCGTCTATCATGAAAGTTGTGAAAGAAAAACCTGCTGCATCTTCAAAGCATACAAAGTCAGCATCCAGGAAACTCCCTCAAACTGTTAGCACGAGGGAGGGAGGCTGTTTGCATAAATTATTAGCCTCACCACAGGGTCGAGGAAAAACCTTGTTAAACCATGAATTTCAGCCGCAGTGATCTGTGTTGAAAATGGGATGAGCAGACAGATTTTCAGCAGGCAGATTCCTGGAGGTTTATGATCCAAGGCTACTCCTCCTTCCCGCAGTCCTCAGTTCCTCTCCGAGTGGATGGTACAACCCCTATCCGCCCAGATGGCTTTTAAATAATCTAAACACGCAAACCCCTGGTTTCATTTGGGTGCCACCAAGGGACTCCTAAGTAGAAAGTGCCAAATACAGTTACACCGAGCGCGGGTGCGAGATCCGGAGAAGAGACGACCTACGAGGCGCGCGGGGCCGGGGACCGGGCAGTGCTAGTGCCTTTCTTTCTGGGCCTTGGGGTTGGCATCAAAGGGCATCTGCTTCTGGGTTAGCACTGTAAAGCCCAGACCGAGGGGATTTCCGCAGCCCGTTTAGGCATCAGCCGCCTCGGGTCGGTCGAGGTGTCGCAGACCCTCAGGAGGAGTCGCCGGGCGCGGGGTGTCGCCCTCTCCCTCTGCAGCCTCCCAGGCTCCCGCTCCGCTCCCTGCTCCCCACTTCTCCCCTCTTGCGACTCTGACACCCGGCGCGCCCGATCTCAGCCAGCCAACGGCACTGCGGG